ATAACAAGCAACAATGAGCAGCGCGTGGAGAACCATGTGCAATTTTCTACTCATTTGCGATGGGTCAAGTATTGCGATACATACATACTACATGCTGCGCATTAAAACGCGGCGCCATGAGCTGCTTGTCACGGAACAGCACTCGCAGTCGCCAACGTGCGACATACAAATCAGCAGGGACGAGAAACGAGCGCTGATACGAAGGAGGAGCAGCAATGCTACAGAGAGAGTATGCGTGGGGGCTGGGCGTGAAAGCGTGTGCCGTTGCCAGCGAAATCGTTACGTTTGGTGTGACCTCTGGCCACCGGCCACGTCACTCTGAAACACCAACGGATAACAATGCATAGCACGCACATCGTCGGAAGACTGGTAAAAAGGAACGTGTACATCGCAATTCATGACAGCCCTGTGCAGCAAGGGCAACACGACGACACTACAGAACACTGCACGCGTCCAAATCGCGATAGTGGCAGAATGTTGAGACGCACGGCAGAGAGGCCGCGTGGGTGAAACTGACGAGTATTCAAACGAGGAGGAGAGGCCCAGGCTGGATGTCATGTTTCACCACTCCCCCAGAACCAACATGCGCGCGAACATGCTCACAAGCAATAGTTCAGGATTGGAGGTCTGGGGAGGGTAGCTTCTTCATGATGCACGGCATGGCCTGAAGAGCTCATTCTGCTGTGGCTGGCTGGCCAGCCCATCGTCCCATCGTCCACCCCTGACCGCGCCATGACAGATAACGCCGCAACGTGGAAGCAACGGCACTCGCGCGTACGACTTGCGTGCACACAACCGCGTGCACACAACCACAGCACTGACGCATCAGCCCGGCGAAGCACATAACCCTTTCTCACAACGAGTTGGTTCACCTCGAGGAGTTTTTGGTCTTGCCCCCCCCCCCCCCTTGGGGCTCAACTGGCCCTCCCTCCTCCCTCCCTCCTCGTCCTCCTCCTTCTCCTCCTCTTGCTAGGGTCAAACAAGCTTTCTTGCAAGCACTGGCGAGACATAATTTAATGACGCCCCAGTTACCTGAGCTGAGAGAAAGAGATGGAGAAGGAAGAGAAGAAGACGGGGGAGGAGGATGATGGAGGAAGGAAGATGAAGAGGATGAAGAGGGAGAAGGACGAGGCGGAGGAGGAGGAGGAGGAGGAGGAGAAGAGGGAGGAGGAGGAGAAGGAGGAGGAGGAGAAGGAGAAGGAGGAGGAGGTGGAGGAGGAAGAGGAGCAGGGGGCAAGAGGAGGAGGAGAAGGAGGAGGAGGAGGAATGAAACTTTGTTTCCCACACATGCGCGCCGTGATGAATGATGGTGGACGGTTATTTCTCCCATCGGACAATGCCTCCTGGGCTACCCTCCGCGCGAAAGGAATTTCGAGCTTGTTCGTAGGAAGGTTTGCAATAAGAATCGGTGCATCGGAGGAGGAGGGAACGGAGGAAGAGGAGGAGAAGGAGAAGGTGGATGAGTAGTAGTAGTAGTAGTAGTAGTAGTAGTAGTAGTAGTAGTAGTAGTAGTAGTAGTAGTAGTAGTAGTAGTAGTAGTGTTAGTAGCAGTAGCAGTAGTAGTAGTAGTAGTAGTAGTAGTAGTAGTAGTAGTAGTAGTAGTAGTAGTAGTAGTAGTAGTAGTAGTAGTAGTAGCAGTAGTAGCAGTAGTAGCAGTAGTAGCAGTAGTAGTAGTAGTAGTAGTAGTAGTAGTAGTTAGTAGTAGTAGTAGTAGTAGTAGTAGTAGTAGTAGTAGTAGTCGTAATAGTAGTAGTAGTAGTAGTAGTAGTAGTAGTAGTTAGTAGTAGTAGTAGTAGTAGTAGTAGTAGTAATAGTCGTAGTAGTAGTAGTAGTAGTAGTAGGAGGAGGAGGAACTAAGGAGGAGGAAAAGGAGGAAGGAGGAGCAGGGGGGGCGGAGGAGGGGGGGGAGGAGGAGGAGGAGGAGGAGGAGGAGGAGGAGGAGGAGGAGGAGGAGGAAGAGGAGGAAGAGGAGAAAGAGGAGGAGGAGGAAGCGGAACTAGTTTCACACTAATGCGCGCCAGGATGAATTCGCCGGCCCAACGGGCCAGAGGCGTGCTAAGATCTCCGGTAACTGGTTAAGAATTCTCTAGTTCGCGCGCGCGGGGCGGCCCCTGGGGGTCCCCGGACGAAAAGTACCCCGGCAAGGTCCTGGGAGAGTCCCGGGAGGAGTCCCCCAGAGCGCTCCAGGAGCGCTCCATGAGCGCACCAACAGGGCTCCGAGACGTCCCCGAGAGCCCCAAGAAAGGCCAGGCCCCCAAGATGGTACACGAGGGGTCCGACATGCCACAAGATCGCTCCAAGACGCCCAAGATAGCCCCCAGACGCCCCAAGAAGCCTCCCAGAGCACTCCCAAGAGGGCCCCTGGAGGCAAAATTCATTGTTTGTCCTTAGGTTTTTGAAAGATTTTCGAGCTTCCACCTTTTCGGTTCCCGACGCCCCAAGACGGTCCCAGAGGCCCCCAAGATCGCCCCAAGAGGGCCCAAGAGGCCCCCAAGAGGGCCCCAAGATGGCCCAAGAGGGCTCGAAGACGGCCCAAGAAGCCTCCAAGACGGTCCAAGAGGGCCCCAAGAACACCCCCAAAGGGGCCCCAGAGAGGGAACACGAAACAAAATTTCGCGCCCTCTGCCCTAAGAAGCCCCTACGAGGCCCCAAGAGGCCCCTAAGAGGCCCCAAGAGGCCCCCACGAGGCCCTCAGGAGGCCCCCAAGAGTCCCCCAAGCGGCCCCAGGAGGCCCCCCAAATGCCCCCCCGAGCGCCCCAGGAGTCCCCCAAAGCGGCCCCAGGAACCCCCAAAGCGCCGCATTGACACCAGGCCCTCGGGCAAACGGCAGACATGAGACCGTATGGGCCGGCGGAATGAGCGAAGCGATTCAATAATGGTGGACGTAAACTTCTCCCATCGGGCAATGCCTCCTGGGCTGCCTCCGCGCGAAAGGAATTTCAAGCTTGTCAGTGGGAAGGCTTGCAATCATAATCGATGCATCGGGAGGGGGGGGGGAGAAGGACGAGAAGGAGGAGAAGGAGGTGGAGGGGGAGGAGGAGGAAGAGGAGGAGGAGGGGGAGGAGGAGGAACTAAGGAGGAGGAGGGGGAGAAGGAGGAGGAGGGGGAGGGGGGAGGAGGAGGAGGAGGAGGAGATTGAGGAGGAGGCGAATTAGTTTCCCACTAATGCGCGCCGTGCTGAACAATGGTGTTTCTCCCATCGGACAATGCCTCATGGACGACAATATTCGGCATCTCATACTAACTTCCCTCATGACCTTCCGCACCTTGTTCGCGTTTCTGGGCCTAGCAAGGCCGACTTTCTTCAATCGGTAAGCTCTCGCAGCGCGAAGCGCGGTCGTCTCTGCGCTCTCGCCAGGACCCCCCCGCTGGAGAGGGGCAGCGCTCTGACCACGGCCACGAGGAGAACTCTCACTGCGCACCCCCGCGGGAAGGCCCTGGCCCAGACTGAGACCGTCGCTCCAAGCTCCTTGTCGTCGTCGTCCTCCTCCTCGTCCTCGTCTTCCTCCTACTCTTCCTCATCCCCTCACCTCCTCTCGCCGCCGGGAGAAAAAAGCACGACGGACGGATCGGGACCGTCGAGCAACGACTCAGGATGAAAAGCCAGTCCCGCAGGAAGAGTTCCGCGTTGTGACAAGTCACGCCGTAGGAGTGGGATCCTCCTCCTCCTCCTCCTCCTCCTCCTCCTCCTCACTCTCTCCACCTCCTCCTCCTCCTCCTCCTCCTCCTCCTCCTCCTCCTCCTCCTCCTCACTCTCTCCACTTCTCCCTCCCCGTTCCACCTCTTCGCATCCTCTCCCTCACGCCTCCTCCCTCCTCCCTTATCCCGTCCTTCCTCCTCCTCCTCCCCCTTCTTCTCTTCCTCTTGAACCCATCGCCCCAGACTCCTCCTTCTCCTCCTCCTCCTCCTCCTCCTCCTTCGCAGACCTCCAGCGTCTCGAGCAGAAAAGTGCCCTACGGGGGGCCTATGCTCGCGACCTCTGTTCCCGAGGGTACTCCCGCACCCCCCCCAGGAAGACGAGGCCAGGACAGAGACAACATAGGACCATAGCAAGTCGGGGATCTCTGATGATTAACCAGAGCAGGATCCCTAACCATTTGGGAGGGGACCTAAGTTAGGGGGGCCACAAAGAGTAGGGTTAGGGGCTCTTTTCTGCAATGTATCAGACCAAACCGCCCAGAACCAGTCTCCCTGATGCAAGGACGCGGCCCTCAGTGAGGCCACGTCTTCATCGTGCTCTTGGGGCTAGGGGTTCTTCCGTGCTCGACGATCTGAGGCGCGGTGATTCTCGAGGATGCTTCAGGCGCCGCGGCCGTGAAAAGAGCGCCATGGAGCGCTCTGAGAGCGTTCCGGAACCTCTGACAAGATGGGTCTCTGTCCTAGCCCCGCTCGACCCAAGCCCGCACAAAGAAGAACCCGCAGCGCAAGACCCCTCCATGTGACGAAGTCGACCGGAAGCGCCCCCGCTTTTGCTCGCAGGACCAATCAACGTCGGATCGAGAAGTCGGATCGGGCTGCATCGACATGTGGTCGAGATCGAATCGGGGCGGCTACGCCAAGATGCGTACCAATGCCAAGGAAAAAACATCGGGCCGCATTGGATCGCCAGAACACCATGATCGAATCGAGCCAGTTCGGGCCGGGCGATATCGACACGTATCGAATCGGATTGATCGGGTCGACACGGACCCTGTGTTTGTGAGCGGGTCCGGAAGACGAAGATCTGGGCCCTGCGTATGCAAGCCATGATCCCGAGGCTGTGTGACCCACCAAACCATCCTTGAAAAATGAACGGTGGGCAACGTGAAGTCTTCCCAGGGCAACACGGACAGGGGGACCCGGGGACGCATCTCGCACACGCGAGGATGACGATTATAGTGAGGGCAGGGGCAAGACGACGAGGGGCGAAAGGTGCGAGGAAGCTGCCAGGGGCACTGTACAAGTTAATGCTCAATTGCTTACCTACTGCTTCTCCTTGTAGTCCTCGCTGGCAAATTACTTCAGCGCTCCCGAATGGAGTTACTAATGTTCGCAACTTCGCAGGACAGACTCTGCACCCTATCGAGAATGGAATGGAGCATCTCGATCGCATCAAGGTCGCCTGGCTCCGAGACCGACAAGAGAGCCGACTGGACGGACTCTCTCCGCTGTGGCGAGAAAATATTGGTCGTCAGCGAACGTGGCGGTGTCGGACGATATCGATCGATGGTGCTGACGACACGCTGAAGGCTACGAAGCGAGAAACTTCCAGACAAGATGTGTGTCCATATGTGCATTCGCTGCCCCCATGTCAACAGCTTCAACTTCTGCTCCCACTTTGCGCTCTTCTGGAGCGGGTCCATCGTCTCTTGGAACCTTCTGCACGCCCGACTGACTCCGTAAATAATCGTGGCCCTGCGAAACACTTTTTTGACTGGGGGGTACCTGCTGACCAGATGACTCACAACTTTATGTTGCAGCGCGAGCATCTTCACAAACGTTAGGGCGCCAGCCCCTGTGTGGTCCCACAATTCAGGGTTACTCAGGAGCAAGTTGCTCTCTCCCCAACAGCACTCCGACGAAACAATTCGATTTTTGCGCCAACAGAGTCCAGACTGTAAGATGAAGAGCGTCCTCTCCGCGTGTATGCACTCTTTGGGAGCAAAACACTCCATCATTAACGCCTGGGATAGAGCCACCATGGCATCGTGGTCCAACTCTGAAAGGTACCATACTCCTTGCAAGTACTTTTTGTTGCCGAACAAGGCGACCTCCCCTTGCAACATCGGGGACAAACAATCAACGAGGTGCCGCTCTGTTCGTTTCCGGTTGACATCACGGGCGCTGAAATAGTACGCCCGCAATTTCCATCGTAAATCGTGGGGCATGTTCTGGTCGTGCATCATGTTATTCAAATCGTCCATTGCCTGCTTGAAGGCAGCGTCGTGGGGCGAGAGTGTCGCCACTATGCCGCAGACTGCGCCAATGGTGTACGCCCAGATCCCAGCCATGAAAAACATACAAGCCGTGGCAATGATGTATTCTTCGCGATTTGTTGCAACAATGTCGCCGTAACCAATGCTGGTCAGGGTCATCACAGCCCAGTACAGGCTAATACAATAGACATCGAATGGGTTCTTGTAAAACTCATCTGGATTTCTGCGGTCTTCCTTTAGTGCGCCAATCCAACTGTCCTCGCCGCCACTAAGCCCTACAGCTCCCCAGAGGCACGCAAGCCAATGGCTCACCACGCAAAGGCCTGTCACAAACTGTGCGAGGGATAGTAAGCCGTAGCTGATGCTGAAATACATCTGCCAACGATTCACAAGCCGCTGTACCTTTGCAAGTCTGAGTAATCTGGTCAGCCTCATTAGCCGGATCACTTTCATGTTGCGCAGCCCGATTGGAAGACTGCGCCCTCCTCCCGACTGCTGCATCATGCATATCCGCAGACCCAGGGTTGCCCAAGGGTGAATAAACGGTTGCGCACTGTTCTGACGCCCGTGGTGCTCCCTGTGGACAGAAGTTGACGGATCGTTACCAGCATTGCAATCATAACTTTACAGGGCTTGACTCAAAGAAAAACCGTGCAACTTCGAAGGTCCACACGGATTTCTTGACCCTTCCCTGGCACCCCAATCGCGGTTGGGGTGGCGCCAGAGGCTCCGCCGGGGCGGTCCATCGCCGAGCCCAGAAATCCGCGAGCACCCCCGAACATGTTCGCCAACCACTGCTCGCACTTAGTTGAGCAGGGACCGACCGTCCCGGCATCCCTATAGTCCTACCACGAAATGTTCTTAGAACCCAACAATGTTCAAAAACAAGCAATGTTCTTAGAACATAAACCCGATGTGTTCAAACAAAGACAGACTCCGCCAAAACTTTTCTAAGAACATTTCGTGGAAACATTGCTTGGTGGGGCTATCGGCGAGCCGGGACGCTTCGCCACTGCCTTCACTTGGGGCTTTTCTGCCCGAGCTCTTGCACCATGCGGTATATCCCCGCTTCTCGGCCGGTGCCCACCCGCCAGGGCCCGCGAGCGCCCCGTGGGCGCTCCGCGTCTGGGGTGCATGCTTCGGTCGGGCATGTCCCCGTGCATGGGACGCACAGAAACTTTTTGATCTGCGGGGCGAGAGCGAACCTCTTCCGCTGAAAGCGAAGCGGGACGCGCACAGCTTTGATTAGCAGAGAAAGGGGGACGCACAGAAACATACGAATTCGATGTGTCGTCTTGGGAGGATCGCGTCCCCAACAGACTAAAAGCCTCGTCCCCAGACGATCTTGTAAGCTATGTTCACTACTGTGCTTGGTCATTCCTTGCCAAGCAGAGCCCCCCCAAGGAGCCGCAACGACTCCGAAACGGCAAAAACTTTTCAACATGTTGCTTTCCTCGAGCTGGGCCGCGGGGAAGCATCGTGGAACGCCCGCGCGTCGTCGAGCGGCCGCGCGCCCCCCGTCGCCGCCGCTCCTCCTGCCGAGGGACCACCCCGGGCCCGCCCGCGGGCGCGCTCCGAGCTGGCAGGCGCGCGCCGAGGCTTCGCCGGGTGGGCGCCTCGTGGGCGCCTCGTGGTCGCCACGCGCCGGAGGAGCCTCCGCCGAAGCTCCTTCGCCGGGGGCCCGCCCGTGGGGGCGCTCCGGGGGCGCCCCGCGCGGCTGGCTCCGCCCAGGGCTGGGGAGGGACGCGTGCTGGCCATCGCTCTGACGTCGCTTCCCTTTTTTTTAAAACCTAACAGCGAAGACTGATAGGTTTCTAGTAGGGCGAAAAGGGAGCATCTTGACGCCCCAGGGGCGCGATCCGGGGGAGGATGCTGGGGATTCATTTTTAGCCAACAGTAACGCACTTCGTGGTCTTCGAGGTCCCAGAACTCCATTCCTGGGCATGCTTTTGAATGCCTGGAGCCAACTGTAGGCCACTTCGTGGTCTTCGAATTCCCAGGACTCCATTCCTGGGCATGATTTTGAATGCCCGGAGCCAACTGTAGGCCACTTCGTCTTCTTCGAGTTCCCAGAACTCCATTCCCGGGCCACATTTTGAATGCTGAGGCAGGCTGATGCTGAGGCTGAGGCAGGCTGAGGCTGAGGCAGGCTGAGGCTGAGGCCGAGGCTGAAGGCAGACTGAGGCTGAGGCTGAAGCAGGCTGAGGCTGAGGCTGAGGCAGGCTGAGGCTGAGGCTGAGGCAGGCTGATGCTGAGGCAGGCTGAGGCTGAGGCTGAGGCTGATGCAGGCTGAGGCTGAGGCAGGCTGAGGCTGAGGCCGAGGCTGAAGGCAGACTGAGGCTGAGGCTGAAGCAGCTGAGGCTGAGGCTGAGGCTGAGGCTGAGGCTGAGGCTGAGGCTGAGGCTGAGGCTGAGGCTGAGGCAGGCTGAGGCTGAGGCTGAGGCTGATGCAGGCTGAGGCTGAGGCTGAGGCCGAGGCTGAAGGCAGACTGAGGCTGAGGCTGAAGCAGGCTGAGGCTGAGGCTGAGGCAGGCTGAGGCTGAGGCTGAGGCAGGCTGATGCTGAGGCAGGCTGAGGCTGAGGCTGAGGCTGATGCAGGCTGAGGCTGAGGCAGGCTGAGGCTGAGGCCGAGGCTGAAGGCAGACTGAGGCTGAGGCTGAAGCTGAGGCTGAGGCTGAGGCTGAGGCAGGCTGAGGCTGAGGCTGAGGCAGGCTGATGCTGAGGCAGGCTGAGGCTGAGGCTGAGGCTGATGCAGGCTGAGGCTGAGGCAGGCTGAGGCTGAGGCCGAGGCTGAATGCAGACTGAGGCTGAGGCTGAAGCAGGCTGAGGCTGAGGCTGAGGCTGAGGCAGGCTGATGCTGAGGCTGAGGAGGCTGAGGCAGGCTGAGGCTGAGGCCGAGGCTGAAGGCAGACTGAGGCTGAGGCTGAAGCAGGCTGAGGCTGAGGCTGAGGCAGGCTGAGGCTGAGGCTGAGGCAGGCTGATGCTGAGGCAGGCTGAGGCTGAGGCTGAGGCTGATGCAGGCTGAGGCTGAGGCAGGCTGAGGCTGAGGCCGAGGCTGAAGGCAGAGGCTGAGGCTGAGGCTGAGGCTGAGGCTGAGGCAGGCAGGCTGAGGCTGCGGCTGAGGCAGGCTGAGGCTGAGGCTGAGGCAGGCTGAGGCTGGCTGAGGCTGAGGCTGAGGCAGGCTGAGGCTGAGGCTGAGGCTGATGATGCTGAGGCTGAGGCTGAGGCAGGCTGAGGCTGAGGCCGAGGCTGAAGGCAGACTGATGCTGAGGCTGAAGCAGGCTGAGGCTGAGACTGAGGCAGGCTGAGGCTGAGGCTGCGAATGCGACTACGACTGCGAGAACAACACAATTCTACAACTGGATTCTCATGTGAATCTTAAGGGGAATGCTTCCAGATATGCTCCTACACGTCGCTGTTAGGTTGCTTTGTCGGGATACGTTCGGTGCCGTGCGTGGTTTTTTCGCCAAATGATCAAGGATGCTCCTCGATGGTCCTCGCCGACGGAAAAATGCACACGTCCGAGAGATGCCAAGCGTGGATAATGAGTTCTTCCTCAGGTTTCATGCGGCTGCCTACCAGACCACCCCAGCCCAACCCGAGGGCACGAACCTGCCTCGAGCTTCGGGTTGGGGGGGGACGGGGTCCACGTGCCCTTTCCCAACCATCCTGTGGTGTTGGGTCCTCGTTTTGGGAAAAGGGTCCCCGCGTTCCTTCCTCCTCCTCCCTCTCCCCCCTCTTCTCTCATCTCTGCGCTTCACTCACCCAGTACAGCGCTTCGTGGCCCCATAGGGAGCTCCACCAAGGGCCCCAGCGGGGGTGGCCGCATGCGTCCGCCACGCCCACTACAGCGTTTCGTGGCCCTATAGGAAGCTCCACCCAAGGCCCCAGCGGGGGTGGCCGCATGCGTCCGCCACACCCAGTACAGCGTTTCGTGGCCCCAGAGGGAGCCCACCCAAGGCCCCAGAGGGGGTGGACACATGCGTCCGCCACACCCAGTTCAGCGCTTCGTGGCCCCATAGGGAGCTCCACTTACGGCCCCAGTGGGGGTGGCTACATGCGTCCGCCACACCCAGTACAGCGTTTTGTGGCCCCATAGGGAGCTCCACCCAAGGCCCCAGCGGGGGTAGCCACATGCGCCCGCCACACCCAGTACAGCTTTTCGTGCCCCCATAGGGAGCTTCTGCCACACCCAGTACAGCGTTTCGTGGCCCTAGAGGGAGCTCCACCTAAGGCTTTAATTGGGGTGGCCACATGCGCCCGCCATACCCAGTGCAGTGTTTCGTGGCCCCATTAGGGAGCTCCACTTGAGGCCCCGGTGGGGGTGGCCACATGCGTCCGCCACACCCAGTGCTGCGTTTCGTGGCCCCATAGGGAGCTCCACCCAAGGCCCCAGTGGGGGTGGCCACATGCGTCCGCCACACCCAGTACAGCGCTTCGTGGCCCCATAGGGAACTCCACAAAATGACTCCAGTGGCACCGCCCGCATGTTCGTCCACCACCCAATACTGCACTTCGCGGCCCCATTGATTGGGAGCTCCACCAAACCAAAGTGGCACCGCCCGCGTGCGTCCCCCTCACCCGGTACAGCGTTTCGTGGCCCCGTGGGGAGCTCCAGTGGCCCGCCCGCAGGCGATCCCCCACCCAGTGCATATAGGGAGCTCCACTGAAAGGCCCATATGGAACTCCACCGCAAGTCCCAGTGGCACCGCCGGCCACCACCCAGTGCAGCGTTTCGTGGCCCCGTAGGGAGCTCCACATAAAGACCCCAGCGGCACCGCCCGCATGCGCTTCCCCCAAACAGTACAGCGCTTCGTGGCCTCATCGGGAACTCGAACGAGGAGCACCGCCCGCATGAGTCAGCCACACCCATGACAGCGTTTCGTGGCCCATAGGGAGCTCCACCCAAGGCCCTGGTGACACCGCCCGCATGCGTCTCCCCCACCCATTACGGCACGTCCCTCACGCGCTTCGTGGCCCCATACGGAGCTCGACCGAAAGCGGCACCCATATTCACAAGTGCATATGGTTGGGTCCTGCGCCAAGATAATTCAACGTTCCCCGCCCCCCACCCCCCCACTGGAAAGGGCAAATTGAAGCCTTCGGGTTGGGTTGGGGTGGTTTGGTAGGTGGTTATGCTTTGGTGGCCCCGTGCCGAACGACGCCTGATCGCATTGAAAACGCGTCGCCGTAAGAGGAGAAGGCGCGCAGCGTGGAGTCCTGGGGGCGCGTGCCGAAGTGTCGCCCGGTGCCCGCCCGTGGGCGCGCCTCGCGCTGGGCACGTGTGCCAAAGCTTCGCCCGGCGCCCGCCCGTGGGCCCCCCGTGGGCGCCCCGATAGAGGATGTGCCTCACATGTTTGTCGGTGAAACACTCTCCCACCCTCGCGACCCCGGACTTCTCGACCCTTCTGCACTCACGGGATACTGCAATTCACACGTGGCCCCGCCCTCATCCCTGAGAAGCCACTCGTTTACTTAACATATTCATTTCCCGGT